CATTAAAAAAAAAAAAACCCAAAACAGCGTGGCACAGATGCTATGTAAACTGTTCTCCGTTGTGCGATTCCAGTGTGCAGACACCCAGCATTCCTTCAGAAACACTGAACTATGCACACTTGTGTGGAGGAACCTAAGTAGTTGCTCAGCCACGCAGCTCCACCAAGAAAATGGTGCCTGGAACGTAAGCCGCTGGCTGTACTGGCATTGCTGTAGGTCATATTTTCCTTTATGTCTAGACATGGGATGATCAGTAATGGACTTCTGACTGCAGCAAAGCTTTGGCATCAAATAGACCAGGGTTATCGGATCTCTTCCCTGCAGAATGCTGCATCGCCAGTCTTGAAGTGAGGATCACTTCCTCTAAGACCAGGCCCCAGCATGGCACGCTGTTACTGGTTCCAGAGGCAGATGGAACGTCTCATGCTGGGACCTGGGTCTCTTACAGAGAAGAATAGCGTAGGCCAGGTTTTGGCCTTCTGTACGTGTGTTTTGGGGAGAAACTGGCTGAAAATGTGCAGTTTCTTGAAACAACTGCACATTTGGATTGTGTGATTCTCTTCCAGGCAAATGGGAGGAAGGGGGAGAACTTCAAGTCTGGATCAAGGAAGCCAAGAACTTGACAGCTGCTAAATCTGGTGGGACCTCTGATAGCTTTGTCAAGGGGTGAGTACTAGTACTATGCTAAGCACTGAGGAACTGGAGGGAGGCTACAAGTGACCTAAACACAAAGGAAACTTCCTCTGGGTACCACAACCTGGATATTGTTTGGGGGAGGAGCAGCTCAGGTCTAGGAAAACAGGTCTGTCCTCCTCTGGCCTGGGCTTGGAAAAGGGCTGTATGGTCACCCTGACAGACCTATGCTCTGACCACCTTCTTTCGTGTGCCAAAGGGGCATGTCTGCCCTAGCTCACTTCCGTGGGCTCTAGGTAGAGCTGTAGATATTCAGTGCTTCTTGAGTCTTCAGTTTGCCCAGAAGCTGCACCCAGCAAGGTCAGCAGCTATAGTTTCATAGCTGGTAGGGTCGTAAGGGACCTGAGCAAATCATCAAGTCTGACCCCCTGCCACGGCAGGAAAGAGTACTGGGGTCAAACGACCCCAGCAAGGTGTACATCTAGCCTCCTCTTAAAGACCCCCAGGGTAGAAGCCAGCACCACTTCCCTTGGAAGTTGGTTCCAGATCCTAGCCGCCCTGACAGTGAAGTAGCGCCTCCTGATGTCTAGTCTGAATCTACCCTCTGCCAGCTTGTGACCATTATTTCTAGTCACTCCTAGTAGTGGTCGGGGGAACAGGGACTCCCCCAATGCCTGCAGGTCCCGTCTGACTAGTTTGTAACAGGCTACTAGATCCCTCCTCAGCCTTCTCTTGTAGAGGTTGAACAGGTTCAGGTCCCATAGCCTCTCCTCGTAGGGCCTGCCCTGCTGCCCCCGATCATGCGACTGGCCCTCCTCTGGACCCTCTCCATGTTGTCCACATCCCTCCTGAAATGTGGCACCCAGAACTGGACGCAGTACTCCAGCTGCGGCCTGACCAGCGTCACAGAGAGGGGGAGTATCACCTCCCTGGACCTGCTTGAGATGCATCTGTAGATGCATGACAGGGTGCGGTTGGCCTTCCTGACTGCCTCCCCACACTGCCGGCCCATGTTCATCTTGGA